ACTGGATATGGTTGGGTCCTTCGCCAGGATAATTCAATTTGGCTGGCGAAGGGTCTCATCTTCTTGGAGGATGTTCCTCTGTCCTAGGTCCTACTGCAGTGGTGGTAGGTGTACCCCCATCGACCCATCGATCATTAGTATGTGCTGCGGCGCTCTTCCTGGAGAATCTGCTGGTTGCTTCGGTGCCACGTTGAATCTAGGCATGCAGCAGCGTTTTGCTTGATCGTCCGAGCATCGTATCAGTTCGCCATCTGCTGCGATCTGCATTCCTCATGTGTTTGCGGGCTTGCCCGTCCGATGTGACATTGTCGCGCGCAGGTCGTGAGAGAGTCACGGTCAACCCGCATAGCAAGAATGAGCGACTTTCCAAAGCTACCCCTTTATCCTTCCCCTTTGGCCATCCTTAGCCGCTCTCGCTGGCCGCACCCCGCCCGCGACGTGTCGCCGTGGCCTTCCAAGGCCCTTGCATCCTCATCGTGCATCCTTATTGTATGGGTTGACCGTAGTGTTAAATCGGGCCTGTCCCTCCACAGGAGAAATATTCAAACAGAGTCAAAAATTATCTGGGCGAAGGACCCAACCATAAGCAATTGTTCGTAACGCGTTGTGGGTGCCGTTTTCGGCGGGGCTCCCTATGGGGCCACGACACGCTGCCTTGGGTGGGGGAACCGCATGCGAACTGCGGCACTGGGGCAGGCCTTCGGTGGAGCTCCCTATGGGGCCACGAAGCGCTGCCCTGGGTACGGGAACCGCATGCGAACTGCGCCAGTGGGGCCTTCGGTGGAGCTCCCTATGGGGCCACGAAACGCTGCCCTGGGTGGAGGAACCGCATGCGGACTGCGCAACGGGAGCCTTCGGTGGAGCTCCCTAGGGGGCCACGAAGCGCTGCCCTCCGCATGCGAAGTGCGCCTCTGGGGCCTTCGGTGGAGCTCCCCATGGGGCCACGAAGCGCTGCCCTGGGTGGGGGAACCGCATGCGAACTGCGCCACTGGGGCCTTCGGTGGAGCTCCCTATGGGGCCACGAAACGCTGCCCTAGGTACGGGAACCGCATGCGAACTGCGCCACTGGGGCCTTCGGTGGAGCTCCCTATGGGGCCACGAAGCGCTGCCCTGGGGGGTGGAACCGCATGCGAGAGCAACCACTGGGGCCTTCGGTGGAGCTCCCTATGGGGCCACGAAGCGCGGCCCTGGGTGGGGGAACCGCATGCGGGAGCAGCCACTGGGGCCTTCGGTGGAACTCACTATGGGCCACGAAGCCCTAGGTACAGGAACCGCATGCGAACTGCGCCACTGGGGCCTTCGGCGGAGCTCCCTCTGGGGCCACGAAACGCTGCCCCGGGTGGGGGAACCGCATGCGACAGCAGCCACTGGTGCCTTCGGGCGGGGGAACCGCATGCGAGAGCAGCCATTGGGGCCTTCGGTGGAGCTCCCTATGGGGCCACGAAGCCCTGGGGGGGGTGGGGGAACCGCATGCGAGAGCAACCACTGGGGCCTTCGGTGGAGCTCCCTAGGGGGCCACGAAGCGCTGCCCTGGGTGGGGGAACTCATGCGAGAGCAACCACTGGGGCCTTCGGTGGAGTTCCCTATGGGGCCACGAAGCGCTGCGCTGGATGGGGGAACCGCTTCGGTGGAGCTCCCCATGGGGCCACGAAACGCTGCCCTGGGTGGGGGAACCGCATGAGAGAGCAACCACTGGGGCCTCCGGTGGAGCTCCCTATGGGGCCACGAAGCGCTGCCCTGGGTGGGGGAGCCGCATGCGAGAGCAGCCACTGGGGCCTTCGGTGGAGCTCCCTATGGGGCCACGAAGCGCTGCCCTGAGTGGGGGAACCGCATGCGAACTGCGCCACTGAGGCCTTCGGTGGAGCTCCCTATGGGGCCACGAAGCGCTGCCCGGGGTGGGGGAACCGCATGCGAGAGCAGCCGCTGGGGCCTTCGGTGGAGCTCCCTATGGGGCACGAAGCGCTGCCCTGGGTGGGGGAACCGCATGCGGAGCAGCCACTGGGGCTCGGTGAGCCCCTATGGGCCACGAAGCGCTGCCCTGGGTGGGGGAACCGCATGCGAGAGCAACCACTGGGGCCTTCGGTGGAGCTCCCTATGGGGCCACGAAGCGCTGCCCTGGGTGGGGAACCGCATGCGAACACCCCCACTGGGGCCTTCGGTGGAGCTCCCTATGGGGCCACGAAACGCTGCCCTGGGTGGGGGAACCGCATGCGAACACCCCCACTGGGGCCTTCGGTGGAGCTCCCTATGGGGCTACGAAACGCTGCCCTGGTGGGGGAACCGCATGCGAACACCCCCACTGGGGCCTTCGGTGGAGCTCCCTATGGGGCTACGAAACGCTGCCCTGGGTGGGGGAACCGCATGCGAACACCCCCACTGGGGCCTTCGGTGGAGCTCCCTATGGGGCCACGAAACGCTGCCCTGGGTGGGGGAACCGCATGCGAGAGCAACCACTGGGGCCTTCGGTGGAGCTCCCTTCTTTGGGGCTGCGAAACGTGTGAGAGGTGTGCCGAGAGCAGAGGCAATGAGGGGGAGGAGGAGGAGGGGGATGAGGAAGGAAGGAAGGAGGAAGGAGGAGACGCGGGGCGCTGTCTCTTCAAAACGAGGACCCAACACCACAGGATGGTTGGAAAATAGTCAGGGGACAATTTCTTGAATATTTGTGCTAATCTTGGAGTTTTTCCCAACCATCCTGTGGTGTTGGGTCCTCGTTTTGAAGAAACGGTCCCCGCGTTCTCCCCTCCTGCTCTGCCCCCTCCTCCTTGCTGCCGCCCGCATGCGTCACGCACACCCAATTCGGCACACCCCTCACACGTTTCGTGGCCCCATAGGGAGCTCCAACGAAGGCCCCAGTGCTGCCGCCCGCATGCGCCACGCACACCCAATTCGGCACACCCCTCACACGTTTCGTGGCCCCATAGGGAGCTCCACCGAAGGCCCCAGTGCTGCCGCCCGCATGCGTCACGCACACCCAATTCGGCACACCCCGCACACGTTTCGTGGCCCCATAAGAAGCTCCGCCGAAGGCCCCAGTGCTGCCGCCCGCATGCGTCACGCACACCCAATTCGGCACACCCCTCACACGTTTCGTGGCCCCATAGGGAGTCCACCGATGGGGCCCCAGTTGCTGCGGGCGCAGGCGTCACGCAAACACCCAAGTCGACACACCCTCACACGTTTTCGTGGCCCAATAGGGAGCTCCGGCGAACCCCCCTAGCGCTGCGCCCGCATGCGTCACGACACCCACCAATTCGGCACACCCTAACACGTTTCGTGGCCCATAGGAGCCTCCACCGAAGGCCCCAGTGCTTCGCCCCACACGGCTTTCGTTGGCCCCATAGGGAGCTCCGCTGAAGGCCCCAGTTAGTATGGCTCTCGCGCAAGGCGTCAGCACACCAATTCGGCCACACCCCTCCACGTTTCGTGGCCCCATAAGGTGGCTCCGCCGAAGCGCCGAGGCACCAGCGCGGCCGCCCGAATGCGTCACGCACACCCCAATTCGGCAACCACCCCTACGCGTTTCGTGGCCCCATAGGGAGCTCCGACGAAGGCCCCAGTGCTGCCGCCCGCATGCGTCACGCACACCCAATTCGGCACACCCCTCACACGTTTCGTGGCCCCATAGAGAGCTCCGCCGAAGGCCCCAGTGCTGTCGCCCGCATGCGTCACGCACACCAAATTCGGCACACACACACACCACATGTTCGTGGCCCCATAGGGAGCTCCGCAGAAGGCCGCAGTGCTGCCGCCCGCATGCGCTCCGGACACCCAATTCGGCACACCCCTCACACGCTTCGTGGCCCCATAGGGAGCTCCGCCGAAGGCCCCAGTGCTGCCGCCCGCATGCGTCACGCACACCCAATTCGGCACACCCCTCACACGTTTCGTGGCCCCATAGGGAGCTCCGCCGAAGGCCCCAGCGCTGCCGCCCGCATGCGTCACGCACACCCAATTCGGCACACCTTCACACGTTTCGTGGCCCCATAGGTGCACGAAGGCCCCAGCGCTGCCGCCCGCATGCGTCACCACACCCAATTCGGCCACCCCTCACACGCTTCGTGGCCCCATCGGGAGCTCCACCGAAGGCCCCCAGTGCTGCCGCCCGCCTTGCGTCACGCACACCCATTCTCGGCACACCCCTCACACGTGTGGCCCCATAGGGAGCTCCGCCGAAGACCCCAGTGCTGCCACCCGCATGCGTCACGCACACCCAATTCGGCACACCCCTCACACGTTCGTGGCCCCATAGGGAGCTCCGCCGAAGGCCCCAGCGCTGCCGCCCGCATGCGTCACGCACACCCAATTCGGCACACCCCTCACACGTTTCGTGGCCCCATAGGGAGCTCCACCGAAGGCCCCAGTGCTGCCGCCCGCATGCGTCCCGCACACCCAATTCGGCACACCCCTCACACGCTTTGTGGCCCCATAGGGAGCTCCACCGAAGGCCCCAGCGGCCGCGCTCACACGCGTCCCCGCCACCCATCCCGGCACGCCCCTCACAACAACAGCTTTCGTGGCCCCAAAGGGAGCTCCACCGAAGGCCCCAGTGGCACCGCCCGCATGCGTCACCACCCGCACCCATCTCGGCACACCCCTCACACGTTTCGTGGCCCCGTAGGGAGCTGCACCGAAGGCCCCAGTGGCGGCGCTCACATGCGTCCCCGCCACGCATCCCAGTACACCCCTCACGCGCTTCGTGGCTCCATACGAAGCTCCACCGAAGGCCCCAGTAGCGGCGCTTACATGCGTCTCCGCCACCCATCTCGGGCCCCCCCCCGCAGCAGCATCATGTTTCGGGGACCCATAGGGAGCTCCACTGGAGGCCCCAGTGGCGGCCCTCACGTGCGTTTCCGCCACCCATCTCGGCACGCCACACGCTCCGTGGTCCTATGGCGAGTTCCTTTGAAGATGAAACCCGCAGCTGCGGTACTGACAACTGCATATGGTTGGGTTCTTCGCCAGGCCAATTTTTTGACCATGCTCACGTTTCCTCCAGAATCCGCCTGCAGGGGTACACGCCCGACCTCACCGTGGTGCTCCAGCTGCCTGCAGTGTGGCACCGCCCACAGGGCCGCGCCGCGCGGCACGTCTTGCCTCCGTTCCCCGAGAGGGTGGCAGTCTCGGGCCGCTCCGCTCGGCCGCCGGGGAGCCGCTCCCTCTCGGCGCGCTGCCCCCAACGGCCGGGCACTGCTTTTGGACGGCGTGTCGCTTCGCCGGTGCTGGATTCGATTCGATGCGACTTCGATGGATTCCGACTCCGATTCGATTCGACTTCGGACTCCGATGTGGGATCCGATTTCTCAGTGGAGGCCTACTGGCCTGCCGATCACCGCCGATTTGATTTTTCCCGACTCGATCGCCGATTTCCGCCGATCCGATTTATTTCGATCGTCGATCCGAGTTATCGATTTGATTCTGGGCTCTCCTGCCCACCACGCTTCGGCGCGACACGCTACCCTCTTAGCGCCCCCTGGGCGTCACGGTCTCGAGCTTTCAAGAGCCTCCCGCCCCGCGGAGCGGAGCGACACGTTATCCTTTCGCAAGGCATGGCGCGTTTCTGGGGACGCCGTGGCGACACGCCATCCCGAAGATCCTGACCCCAGGCCGTCTGGGGGTGTGAGTTCGTGGGCCCTCGTTTACCCCTTTTTGCTTCCCTTTCCCTTCTCTAGGCCATCTCCAGAGAATCAGATTGAGCCGAGCAGGCTGGGAACTGGAAAGGACGGAAGCATCTGAAGATGTTGTCTCTGTGCTTGTCAGGCATGCCTTTGGCCTGACTTGAGGGCCTCTTGTTCTTCTCTTTGCTGCCTTGAAGCGTCTTGGGCCCCCCTTGGCGCCTCTTGGGGCTCTTTTTGGGGGTTGTCGGTGCCTCATGAGGCAGTGTTGTGCCATCTTGGCGGCCTTGGTGTGATTCCTGTGTCGTCTTGGAAGCCTTAGAGGCGCGCTAGGCCGCTCAGGAACTCTCACGAGGGGGGGGGCGATGCATGCAGTGAAGCATGGAGAGAGGTGGGACTTTGAACGGAGTTAAAAGGGGGGCTGTATAGCGAACGCTATATCCGCCGCATTCTTGGCTCAAGGTTGCGCAGCCCCATTTGCTTGTCACGCGACAGTGGGGACACTTTTGGATCACTGCATCAGACAAAGGCCACGTCTATCAATGATCCCTCTATCTATCTGATGGCTTATCTCTGACCTTTCATCTTCCCTGCCATCGAGGGATGCGTTATGGGATACCTCGATACGTCGCCGATGTTTTCCTAAGAGCAGGGCTCACAGCTTATTACCCCATGGCCAAGCCTTTGATCCTTGCTTTTCACTTGGTAGCGGAGCTGGCCTCATCTTTCTGTGACTGGCTCTTACATCAGGTGTTATGTACATAGCCGCTTACCACGGCACAGCGGAGTACTCGACTACGTCGGCTATCAGCCACTACGCTCCGAATGTTCTTCAACCAGATGGTACTTTATTTCCTTATACCTCCATCCCCCCACCTCGTGGCCACACGCCAGACACCGACCAACTACCCACACCCCTCCGCAAACTGACGGCCACGTCAGACCAGACACCCAGTCGCAACCCCACCGACGCGACAAACACCAATGATACGAAACCTACCATCATCAGCTACACTTTGGCCATGCACTATGTCGAGGTTGCTATCTTTGGAATAGTTTTGTTTTTCCCCTTAACCTGAAGATGGGGTTCTTGTTCTCCATATCCTAAGGATGGGGTTCTTGCTTTTACTTACACCGCGCGGAACGAGAACACCCCCCACCCTCAGGTCATGATTTTACGACTCACATGTAAACCCACTCATATTCAGACTCGCTCATACTCGGATGCGCTCGCTCTTAGATTCCTGATACTCAGGTTTCTCATGCTCGGGATCATTCATATGCAGATTCATTCACACTCCTGGTAGTCCGCGCTCAGACTCACACGCACGTTGTGCGGATGTCTCAGGCGAGGCGCTGGTTTCAGTACTCCCAAGGTCCCAAGGGGGGGTGCGCCAGGGGGTATATCACAGGCCCGTTCGCGCCCAGATTTGGGGATGTCTCAGGCGGTTTGCCCGTTTGGGTGCCCAACATCCTTCTCTTTCGGAGCAGTTTCCGAGGATGTCTCAGGCGAGGCGCTGGTTTCAGTATTCCCAAGGGTCCAGATTGGGGGGATGTCTCAGGCGGTTTGCCTGTGTTGGTGAAGCCCCAGGAAGCCCCAGAGAGGGCCCAGGTGGCATTAGGAGGTTTTAGGAAACCATTGGAGGCCACAGGAAGCTTCAGGAAGCCTCAGGAGGCCCCAGGAGGCCCCAGGAACCACCAGGAGGCCCCAGGATGCCCCAGGGGTGTCTAGGAGGCCCCAGGAAGTCCCAGGAAACGCTAGGAAACCCCAGGAGTCACCAGTAAGCCCCGGGAGGCCCCAGTAGGCCCCAGGAACGCCTACAGGCCCCAGTGGGCACCAGCAGGCCCCAGGAGGCTCCAGGAGGCTCCAGGATGCTTTGGGAGCCCCAGGAGACCCAGGAAACCCGAGGAGACCCCAGGAGGCCCCCGGGAGGCCCCAGGAGGCCCTGGAAGGTCCTCATGCCGACCCCACCAGCGTGTTTTACGTACGTGCCTATGGATTGCCCTTCTCCTGTGGCTCGAATCCAATGTGTTTTGCAGGTCTCGAACCCTATGTGTTTTACATCTGTGTCCAAGTTCACACGGACTCACTCACACTCATATTCACATTTACGCCACTCACACTCATATTCACATTCACATTCACATTTACGCCACTCACACTCATATTCACAAACGCACGCCGACATTCCAATACCCAGACCACTCACATTCAGATACACTTACCAAATGCTTAGACATACTCCGACTCATACATATCGACTCAGTCACGCTCAGACTCGCCCACACACGGACTCACTCACACCCAGACCCACCCGTTCTTAGTCTCTCGCACTCAGGCCCACTCATGCCCAGACTCTCTCGCAGACTTTCGCAGCGGAAAATGTCCAGGCACATAGAGTCACATATGGGGATCTCCGCGTCGAGTAATTAAATGTCGGGCCCAGAAACCACCACAACCCCCTCAAGCTCCCCCCCCAGGATCCAGGGGAAAAACCGTATTAAAAAACAACAACAACTCGGTTTTTTTTCGGGAATTTCCTGGGGGGGTTACAGGGGACTCCCACACCGGTCTCTAAGAAACCACGGAAGAGATTTAGTGGAGACGGAAAAGGAGGAGGCGGAGGCGGAGGCGGAGCCGGAGGCGGAGGAGGAGGAGGAGGAGGAGGAGGAGGAGGAGGAGGAGGAGGAGGAGGAGGAGGAGGACGAGAGATAAGGAGGAGTGGGGTGTGGGTCGAGTTGGCCAGGTCGAATCCGTCAGCGGGGCCTGCCCATTTCCACTCTCCCTCCCATAACGTACAAATGAATTGTGGTACGCATTGATTTTGGGGCTGGAGCGCGTTCCCACCCAGCGAGCGGACGGCGCTCGCGCGCGGTTCCGCTACCGACGACTTGGTAAGGGGGAAGCAAGCGCGGGCCGTGCTCCTCCTTGCTCGGCTCTGCTGCGACAGCACCACTTGGGCCTCTCCTGGGCGGCCAGGGTTCCGATGGGCGCGCTGAAGACGAAGAGTACGCTGCGCCGGAACAGCACTGCCGCTCTCACACACGGAAGCTGCGCTGCGCTTGGGTGTTCAGTGCGGGCCTCTCTGGAGGGGAGCAGGTCGAGAGGGGGAGGAGGAGGAGGAGGAGGAGGAGGAGGAGGAGGAGGAGGAGGAGGAGGAGGAGGAGGAAGGAGGAGGAGAGGAGGGTGGAGGAGGAGGAGGAGGAGGAGGAGGAGGAGGAGGAGGGAGGAGGAGGAGGAGGAGGAGGAGGAGGAGGAGGGGAGGAGAGGAGGATGAGGAGGAGGAGGAGGAGGAGGAGGAGGAGGAGGAGGAAGAGGAGGGGTAGGAGGAAGGGGGGAGGGAGTGGAGGAGGGGGGCGGGGGAGGACGAGGAGGAGGGGTGGGATGAGGAAGGCCCGCCCTCGCGCGAACCCGCTGGGATCCGGCGAGTGACACACGCTGCGCGCCCGCGCGGGGGGGGGGCACTTCTCGGCAGAGCCTCGCGGGGCGAGCGCGAGGGCGGCACGTCGCCTGCCCGAGAGCGCGGCCACGCCCCCCGCAGACTTGGCGAGGGAACGCGAACGGCTGCGCGCCGCGCCCAGGCAGGAACGCCGCTTTCGGGCGAAATCTGCGCAGCGCCGAGGCGAGAGCGGCGATTGTCACCACCCACCAAACCACCCCAACCCAGCCCGACGGCCTCAATTTGCCCTCCATTTCCAGTGGGGGGGGGGTCGGAGAACATTGAAAAAAGCACATGGAACCCGTACCCCCCCAACCCGAAATTTGGGTCAAATTCGGGTCTTCGGGTTGGTTCGGGGTGGTCTGAAAGGTAGTCAAATAGTGTGTGTCGCACGCTGGCTGGAGGTCAGTTCTCAGGATAATCTGGCACGGCGCCGAGGAGAGCGCAACTTTGCGCCGTCGCGCGCGGTGCGCACCGCGTCCCGTTCCCGCCGCGCATTTTGCAGCGTCGACGACACAACGTTACACTAATCAGGAATCGTAGGTTGGGGTGCAATGTCGACGTGAAACGGAGATCCCCCACCGGGAAATTGGTTTCGGTTTCGTGTCTTCCATGCGGGTGGGCGAGGCGAAGCTGTATGAACGGGCGAGCGGAATAAACTCGCCGTTGCTAGGGCGAAGACGGGTCAAATGATGGTGCTCCGCCCCCCCCGGTTGGCCGGCGGTGGCCCGGGGGTGTCCTACTAGTTGGCTGGCGGTGGCTTTGGGGGTGTGGCGATGGTGTCGCGATGGTGTCCACATGTTGCCCCGTGGTGCCCAATGGTGTCCACATGGTGGCCCGATGGTGTCCCGACTGGTGTCCACACGTTGCCCCGGTGGTGTCCACGTGTTGTCCCGATGGTGTTGCGATGGTGTCCCGACGGTGTCCCAATGGTATCCACATGGTGCCCCGATGGTATCCCGATGGTGTTTCGATTGTGTCCCGATGGCGCCTCCCCCAGTGGTGTCCCAATGGTGCCCCGATGGTGTCTCGATGGTGTCCCGATGGTGTCCCGATGGTGTCCACATGGTGTCCACATGGTGTCCATCATGCATCGTCACCAGCATCGCCATCATACATCGTCACTTGCTCGTGAACGCATAACCAGCATCGTCACCATCACAACCATCGCAACTGTCATCAGCTGGTTTCCCCCCTCCCCACAACCTGCTCATCACCCGAAGGGTGGTCGCACAGGTAAGAGATAGGGACGCTGGTGAGGGAGGAGCAGACAGATCCTCCTCCTTTCCCTCCTCTGCGTCTCTGCCTTTCTCCCCCTCCTCTTGCCCCGACCAGGGGGCTCCCTGCCCGGCCACCAGCCCCCAACCTTTCCAGCGTCCCCTTCCGAGCCCGCCCGGCGCGCCCGAGCCCGCTCGGCCGCCGAGCGAGCGCCGCCGCGCGCGCCCGGTGCTGGCAGGGGCCGTGGGAAGCCCGCCCGTTCGGCTGCCGAGCGTGCTTGGTCTACGACCCCCCTCGAAGTCAAGCGCAGGCTTTGGTCCGACCTCCTCGCCCCAGAATCTCAATGCTGATGGACGCGCGCCGCGCGGCCCGCGGGGGTCGACAAGCAGATTGCAGTTGCCGGAGCCGGCGTCAGCATTGACATTGGGGGCCTGGAGGCGCCGCCACGCCGTGGGAAAAATCCGGCGTTGGATTTCGAGGAGGGATCTGGAGCCAGCTCGGTCGCCGGAACCTGCTCGCACGCCGAGCGGGCTCAGAAGGGAACCCCTTGTGTCGGGACGATCGAGATAGGTACGGAAATAATGGGTACAAAGACCGGCAGCATGTCCTGTTAGCATGTCCTGTTCCTGTTGAACAGGGCTCACTGTCCGTGCCGCCGCGGGCGCTGTCCATTTGAGACAGAGGTCCGCTGGCCCAACGGCGGCCCCTGTCGGTTTTGGACAGCATCTGTTGTTGGGCATCGTGCCCATGTTTTCCGTGCCCACTTCGTGCGCCCAAACTTGGGCCCCTCCCTTTGGGTTAATTCGGGCCCGCCTTTCTACAGGAGGAATATTCAAAAATAGTCAGAAAACAGTCTTGGAACTATTTTTTGATTCCTTTCGTACCATTTTGGAATATTTTTGGGTATTTTTAATTTTTCGTCGAAATCCCCCTGTAGGGGGACACGCCCGACTTGACCTTTGGGCCGCCTGGCGCGCCCCTCTCCCGGAGAAAGCCCCACCTGTCGGCCGCCTGTACCCGCGCCTGCGATGGAGGAGGCCGGGCCCGAGCGAGTCGGCGTGGACCCGGCGCCCTTCCGAGGCTACGAGGAGGCCATGGCGCTGGTGGTGATCGGCCGTCGGCTCGGTACGATCGAAGTGTGTACGGAAAGGATTCCGGAACTGGAGCATACACATTACCAGTGGCTGGCGGTTTTTCGATCCCAGGGCTTTTTTGAGGGTCGGGGACGACGTCGGGGTGGTGTGGTGTATATTTGTTTCCCCGATGCCCCGGGGAAACAACGAAAAATGTATACACCAGGGCCCCGTATACACCAGGATCCGCTCTCCAGTGCAAGTTTCAATGCAGGGCCGGAAAACGCGTCGGTGTATGGAGTTCGATTCCCTACGAATGGGGACGAGGACCGACAGCACTTCTGGTTCATTCTGAGCAGGGCTCGCTCTCGGTGCCGCCGCGGGCGTGGTCCATTGGAGACAGAGGGCCGCTGGCCCAACGGCGGCCGCTGTCGGCATTGGACAGCTTTTGCTGTTGGGCATCATACAGTGGAGGCCCATGCCAAGAAGCACCCTTCTTGCCTCCAGGGGCCCTGGGTTTCTTGGGTTTCGATCGTTTTGCTGTGGAAGGCGTGACGTTCCCACACCGAAAATCAATGGACTTTCTGGGGTCTCGGGGTTTGGTTTCTTGCGGAAGGCTTTTTGTGGACTGGCCTCCGCTGTGTCCATTCGTTCCGTGCTCATTTCGGGCGTCTAAGTCGGCATTCGGCGAAAATCCATTTGCGCAAACTTGCCAGGAAGCTGGATTCACACGGCGCGTCTTGGCTGGGCGAGAGCTGGACACGCTCGTGGCCGCATGTCTTTCCAGCGCCCGGCCCTCGTCTGGCCTGTCGCGGTGCTCCTCCACATGTGCGTCCAGGAGGTAGTCTCCTTCGGTAGCAAATCCTGGGAGCCTTGTGTACCCTCGTATTGTTGTCTCTAGCGCCGATTAGCGTCGATTAGCGTCTGGAAATCGATGAGATGGCGCCGATTTAGCGTCGGGGATCGTCGATTAGCGCCGATTTAGCGTCGATTAGCGTCGATTTAGCGTCGACTAGCGTCGACTCGCAAGAGCTAACAAGATGGTATGGACGGCTCCCATGAGTTGCCACCGAAGCCTCCGTATGTTCCATTCGTAAACGAAGCCATGTGGGTTCCCAGCTTCATAACGCAGTTTCGGAGCTCCGCGCGGATTTCCTAGATCGGCGCTGGGTCCCCCGGTGGCGCCGCTGGCAACGCCCCTGGCGCGCTCCGCGCGCAGGGGGAGGGGGACTCAGCGCCGATCCAAAAAGTCGAAGGAGGAGGAGGAGGAGAAGGAGGAGGAGGAGGAGGAGGAGGATGAGGATGAGGATGAGGATGAGAAAGAGGAGGAGGAGGAGGAGGAAGAGGAAGAGGGAGGAGGAGGAGGAGGAGGAGGGAGGAGGAGGAGAGGAGGAGGAGTAGGGGGGGAGGAGAGGAGGAGGAGGAGGAGGAGGAGGAGGAAGAAGAGGAGGAGGAGAGGAGGAGGAGGAGGAGGAGGAGGAGGAGGAGGAGGAGGAGGAGGGAGGGAGGAGGGAGCGAGAGGAGGGGGAGGAGAGAGGGGAGAGGAGGGAGGAGGAGGAGAGGAGGAGGAGGAGGAGAGAGGTAGGAGGGGAGGAGGAGGTGGAGAGAGGAGGAGGAGGGGAGGAGGAGGGTGGAGGAGGAGGAGGAGGAGAGGAGAGATAAGGTGTTACCGCGGCCCGTTGGTTGTTACTGCGGCCCGGTGGGTGTTAGTATGGCCAGGGGTCCTCCGGAGTGTATTAATTATCGAGTACGGTGAAGAGGGGGGGGGAGGTCCAAAAAGGCTCCGCACCCCCCCCCCTTCACCGAAGAGCCTCTCGGAAGAGCTTCTGGTGCTCTCCGAAGAGCCTCTTGGAGCCGCCGAAGACCTTCTTGCAGCCGCCTAAGAGCCTCTTGGGCTCTCCGAAGAGCCCCGTGGGGCCTCCGAAGAGCCTCTTGGGGCATCCGAAGCGCTTCTTGGGCTCTCGGAAGAGCCTCTTGGGCTCTCCGAACTACGACTGCTACGACTTACGACTGCTACTACTACTACTACTACTACTACTACTACTACTACTACTACTACTACTACTACTACTACTACTACTACTACTACTACTACTACTACACTACTACTACTACTACTACTACTACTACTACTACTACTACTACTACTACTACTACTACTACTACTACTACTACTACTACTACTACTACTACTACGACTACGACTACGACTCTAACGCTACGACTACTACTACGACTACGACTACCCTACGACTACTACTACTAATCTACTACTACTACTACTACTACTTACGACTAACTACTACTACTACTACTACGACTACGACTACGAACTACGACTAACGACACGACTACGACTACGACTACGACTACGAACTACGACTACGACTAACGACTACGACTACACTACGACTACGACTACGACTACGACTTCGACTGCTACTACTACTACTACTACTACTACTACTACTACTACTACTACTACTACTACTACTACTACTACTACTAGTACTACTACTACTACTACTACTACGACTACGACTACGACTACGACTACGGCTACGACTACGACTACGACTACGACTACGACTACGACTGCGACTACTACTACTACTACTACTACTACTACTACTACTACTACTACTACTACTACTACTACTACTACACTTTAAACGGAGAAGGTTAAAGGCGAGATATAAATCGAGCATGTACCGCTGCCGTGCCTGGCTCAAGCCGGGCCCGGCCTGATATGTGACTGTGCCTCACCGAGGCGCACTACTTGCATCTGAGATCGGAAAACATCCTTTCCATTGACGATGCCCATCCTACTCTATACTCCAGATCCCATGCTTCGTCTCGCTCTCTTGCTCATGCGCTATGAGCCTAAGCCTGGGAGATGGAAGCGCCTAAGGCGGACTGTATACCTAAGCTTACCAGCTTGTTTTCGACTTGGTAGCGGAGCTGGCTACACTCTCGTGTGGCTGGCTCTCGCTCTGATTCCTGTAATCTACGGCACAACTTGGTGGACTACTACTACGGTGGAATACCATGTTGCGCCGGCTCTGCGAGGAGCGGAGCCAGTCCGCGATCGAGCTAGCGGGGCAACCCGCGAACTCGAGACGCTCTCTCCTACCTCACTGCGCTACTTCACTCCCGACTTCCACCAGATGCCAATCGGCAACTCGATCGAGAACGTGGTCACCCTGCGGGGCTACCCGCAGCGGGGCCACCTGCATCCCGTGCCGGTCAGGCGCCTCACGGCTACTACGCCAGAGCCTGACAAACCACAGCCTAAACCAATCACCGAAGCCGAAATGCACATGCACTGGATTAAGATAACTATCTTCGGCATTCTGTGGGTAATAATGGATGTGCTGTGGGATACATGCGGCAGGGGATGGACGACACGCGTACTACTGGCCCCTCATGGGACCCTGCCGGTACTACGCCTTTTCGCGAATATGTTCGCGAAGTACATGCATGGTTAAACGTAACGAGCGGCAATATGACACCACCACAACACGCTGCAGCACTACAACGAGGCCTTCAAGGTCTGGCTCGTCGTATCGCCATGCAGGTCCCCTCCCAGATCATCAATTATGGTGTAACTGTCAATGGACAGCCAACGGATGCAGTAACCTACATCCTGTACTTACTGAGCACCAAATTTGAAAATCTGGAAGATGAGCGCCAGCTCAACTCTGGCACGGCCCTTATCGACTTCCGCGTCGAAAGGGGCGAGCGAATCGACTCAGTATTAGCTCGATTCGAGATGGCCCGTGACGAGGCTAACTCTGTTGGCTTTGTCATCCCCAACTTTCAGATCCTAACGCTGATTCTCTTCAGAGCGTTAGGCGTTTGCGCGTCACGAGCCCAACACCTGCTTGAGCCCTTCAATCATCAGATGCCCCGAACACAAGCAGACTATGACAGGCTG